GGGAAGTAAGGTGATTCAGTTAGAATGGCATTTATTTTCATTCATTTCAACCTTATTATAGTGCTACTTCTGTTAATGAAGTGGATGGCCTTTAATGATACTTTGTCACCATAAACTTTATTATCAGAGGTAGAAATAATAAAAAGAGCCCTCAGGATGGATGTATTCCAAGATGAGGTTTCCCTCCCTACCAGACCGCCATAGGGTCCTGCCTATAACTCCCTGACCCTCTGCACTTAGGGAGTAGAGGGGGGTGGACAGACAACTTTCCCTTCCTTCAGGACAGTTACCGTTCCAGTGAGTTGTTTGCACATGACCATAGCCTAACAGTATCTTTTCCACTCTCAGGTGACTAATTTGTGCAGACCCCAGGAGTACTATCCTCCCCCCTGCACTTTCCCAATACCTCTGCTGCTGCTTAGTGCCCAGAAGGCCAGAACTCCCCCAGTTACCTTGTTCTGAGACTATGGAGATAGCAAGTGTATATCAGGAAGGCCTCAAGATAACTTAATTTCAGTCAAATATGGTTCACTGTAGTAGGTTCCGTTTTAGGTGTGTAAACCTAATTGCTTAAGCTCCCTGATTCTGTTTTTAAATTCTCAGGAATATCTTTGGGAAATCCTTGTTGAGAAGTATTTTCATCCAGTCCATCAGTAAGCATTTATTAAATGCCTGCTGTGTGCCAAACACTGTATAAGATGCCTGGGATACAGATTTTAAAAATGAGACAGTTCTAGGCTCCAGGAAGCTCACCTCTTACTAGAATCCAACCAGAGTCAAATTGTAGTTGAAACGTGCATATCTTTTGTTAACTTTTTATCTTTTGATGCAGTGTGTCACTGGGGAGAAAGAACAGGTTTTGAAATCTGGAAGGACCTGTATTTAGAACTTACTGGTACTTCCTAACTTCAGTGTCTGCAGGCAAATCATTAAACTTCTGAGAGCCACAGGCAGCTCTGTAAGACTTATCTTAATTGTAGGTATAATAAAATAGTTGTGGATTTGAAGTCACAAAACTGGCTCTGAAACTTAATTACTTGTGTGCTCTTGGGGAAACCACGTAACCTCTGTGGGCCCCTGTTCCTTATCTCTTTTTTTGAGGGGGCAGTTTGACTTTATTAGCCAAAGGCAGGCCTGGCACCTTACATACTCTTGGGCGGGCCGGTTCACTTCTTCTTCACCACCATTGCCTTCTGGCTTTGCAGGATGGCACTGGCCTGGTGGAGAGTGGCCATGTGGAGATCTTTCCAGTATTTATTTTTGCGTGTGATGTACTAGGCACTGTTGAATGTGGCCCGAGCATTTTTGCTGATTGTGGTCCTCACAAGGGAGGTGGCGAACTTTTCTGACCTGCCCTCTGCTTCATTACCACCAGGGTGCACTAGCTATCTGCAGCCTCCTTGATGCCTGCCGAGGTCCAGTGGATGAGCCCATTGTAATGGAATGAATTTTGTGCCTTGAGGTTGTTGAGCTTGATGCTGTATGTCTGCTTATTGCGCTTGATGAGGAAGTTGGAGCAGTTACAAAGGCCCATCCATTGCAGATGGGCCAACATAGCAGCCAAACTGACAAATTATGGGCCCAGACAGGCAACAGTAGACTACTAGGTGTCTTCCCTGCAGTATGATATGTCATCTATTGATGGAACATAGGTCTCTTTGGCCTTTCTTGTAGCAATTCAAATATCCCACAATGAAGGGAACTATATTAGGATAGTGGTAGTAGAAATAAAGAGAAAGTAACCTATGCAAGAAATATTAAGGTGTCCTGGATAGGATTTTGGTAACCAGTCGAATATGAGGAAGACGAAAAAATGGAAAATAACGTTAAAATTATTAACATGGGAGCCCAGGTGAATGGTGGTGCCTCAGGCAAAAACAGTCTAGTCAGGAGGAGAAGCAGATTTAGGTGGAAAGATAGCAAGCTTGTTTTGGGATATGTTGAGTTGGGAATCCTTAGGGTATGGGCCCAGGGTTGAATTGGCCTCTGAGGACAAACCCCAGCTAAATTGCCAAGATGCTTACTACCAAAAAGTTGGCCATTGTGTTTTGATTTTTTGAAATTTTCATGTATTTTTTGGCAATAGCCATTCTTGAAGGCAGTCTGCTAAAGGATAGAGGGTTCCTTATCTGTGTCTGTGGAGAGACAGGTCTACATTTATTATCTCATGGATTTTCGAAGTATTAATGTAAGAGGAAAGATTGGGAGAGAGAGAAAAGAGAAGAGAAGAGGAAAAGAAAGAGGAAAAAAAGAGAAAAGAATGCTGGGTGTAGACCCAGACAGAACCCGGGTTTAAATCCCAGTTCTATCAGTTATCATCTGTGTGATCTTGGGTAAGTCGCTTGAATTCTCTGGGCCTCAGTTTCTCTTTTGTAAAATGAAGAGGTTGAATCAGAATCGGATGCCAAAAACACAGTAGCCCACAACACTCCTGTGTATAGCATGAACCAAATTAGAACATAATTGGTAAATGTTTGGCAAAATAAGCAAAAATACAATTAGATATAGATAATGTTAGAATGTGGCTTTCTTAGTTAATATGTTAATAGGGATCCTTATGTGTGCTTTAGTGACCCCCATTTCTATTTGAGTTTGACAAAACTGAATCACATGACCTCTAAGACCTCTTCTAACTCTAAACAAGCCTTAAGTCCTCAGAGGCCCATGGACCTCTGGAGTGCTGGAGCTGAGGCCAGACTACAGGAATATTAGGGCATATGTAGCCACCTGCATCAAACCTGGGCTTTATTTTTGTCATGCAGGTGAAGATCATTTTCTTTGTTTGAAAAGGCTTGCATTATAGTTTTACAAAACACTTTCAGTTTCCAGAGGAGACTAAGAGAAAAAGAAAGAGAAATGGTTATGAAAATGATTCTCTAAAGAAAGCAGAGTAGATTAATGATGTAAATATGGAGCATAAGAAAAAAAAATTCTCAGAGGCAATCTGGTTTGCCCTGAGTACCTGAGTATCAAAGCAACAGCCCTGGGGTTGCAGGAGGGAGTTTGAAATATTTATGAAGGGCAAATGGAGGCCAAAATGTTGCTTCAACATTTCTTCCTCTAGTCTCTCTCTTAAATAAATCTTGTGTTTGATTCTCAAGGCCTTGAGTGTTTGGCACATAATTTAACCTGTTTCAAGAAGTTCTGGAGAAGGATACTCTTGGTAGCATGGCATAGGATAACTAGCTAAAAGATAGGATAGGGGTAGGACTGAACTTTTGATTTAATGGTATGGGGAACTCCAGGAAGAGGAAACTCCTTTCACTAACATAGGTTGGCACCTTCTCTACAGCTTTTAGTCTGAGAGTTACCCAGAGCCCCAAGGGCTTAGATGACTTGACTAATCCTACTCACCCTCCTGAAACTCCATCCTGAGCTTGGTCCCATAAACAGTAGAAAAGAAAGAAATGTGCTGGTCCTGTAACAAATGAGGGGTTGCAAAATTCTATTCTTGCTCATTCAGTCTTGTAGCCCTTTCCCTACCCTTGCCCCGTCACTCCTTCTTCAAGTTGGCCCACCTTGCAAGTGGTTATTTGTTATTGTTATTTTTTAATTCGAGTCATTTGAAATGCTTTTTATTTTGAGACTTTTTCAAGAATTTCACAACTTCCTTTAAAATGATTGCAAGCACTTCAAAATATTGGCTTATTAACTTTGGAAGAGACCTTTGGGATCTAGATCTAGTCTGACTTTACAGAATAAGCGGCTGAAGTCCATACCGGACATAATATTTGTGGCCAAACTGCAAATATATTGGCACATTCACTAATCCTTGATGCTTTCCCTGATCATGTGTTTTAAAATTGCCTTGTATTTATTTATCCGAACAATGTTGTTTGCTGCAATAGGGTGTGAGCTTCTTGAGGGCAGGAATTTTTTTTATTTAATCCCTAAAGACAGTGCCTAGAACTTAATAAATGTTTCTCGAATTGACTTTTCATACCAACTAATTCTTAGATTTTTAAAAAAAACCAACAGTCCTTCCTTCCCTTTTCTTTTCCTCCTTTCCTCCTTTCCTCCTTTCCTCCTTTCTCTCCCTTTCTCTCTCTTTCCTGCCTCTTGCTTTTTCCGCTTTTGTTTTCTTTCTTTCCCATCCCCTCCTCTCCTCTCTTTTCCCCCTCCTTCTGAAGTGATCATCGCATTATGGTGTGATTCTCCCTCAAAGTCTGTTATAAACTGAAAATAAGGCACACCATGCTAATTACATAGCACGCAAGTATGGTCTTCTGCTGGGAGATTAATGAATGTCAACTATTCCATTTAGCTTGGCAGGGATTGAATACAGCCTCGTGGTGAAAGGGCATAATCAGAGCCAGAATGCCTTGAGTCTCTCCCTGCTTTTCATGCAAAACTCTTTTCCTATGACCTCAGCTAAGTCACATACCTTCCCCTTCCACAATTATGCCTTGTGAGTGACAGGACTGTTGCTGAGAGACTTGTTCCTTACAAAGTTGTGCAGACTGACTGATGAAAAGCCTTGTCTAAGCAAGAGAGTAGCAGTGATTTGCCCACTGAAATTCGTATGTTGCCTTTGGACAGTATGGTTTCTTCTGTTGCCTTGAGAAATGGTTTAAGCAAGCATCATTAATAAGTGTGGCTTGTTAGTGGTTATGCTCTGTCCTGTGCTTATAAAGAACCAACTCATAAAATGTTTCACTGGAGAGTAGTGAGAATTTTCTTCCTTCCAGGCCTATAACTGGTATGCTGGAGTAGCCAGAATCTAGATGTGATATCAACCTGAGCATCTTTTTTTGCTGTGTCTGCCTCTCTGCTTTCCCAGACCTTTTGAATCCTTTGTGGTTCCCAGAGAAAATGTCAAACTTCCAAAAGAGGGAATGGGACAGGCCTACTGAGGCAAAGCTTCTCTGTCTCGTACAAACATTGAAGAGCAAAATCTTCTGTTAAGCTGGATGGCATTTAAAATATTAGTGGTACCTAGGGTATGATATAATTCCTTGATGATAATGATAAAGATTTATTCTTTATTTTTGAATCCTTAGGTTCCTGCACTTGAGCTGAGATGATGGGTCTAGGCAATGGGCGTCGGGGGATGAAGTCACCACCTCTCCTGGTAGCGGCTTTATTAGCCTGTGTTATCGTCTTGGGTTTTAATTACTGGATTGCAAGTTCCCGTAGTGTGAACCTCCAGGTAGGATTCTTGGATTTTTCTTAAGAGGTCATAAAAAGCTTACAGTTGCAAGTGACCAGCTAGTTTCTTGCCTTGATATGTTTAACAGGCTTCACTCACTAAGCTCTGGCTTTTTCTCTGTCAGTTTAGGAGAAAGCTGTAGTGGCCTGTAAAAAATTCTGCTGCAGTGCCAAGCCCCCCTCCCCCTGGCCCTCATCGGGTTCAGTCTTGGCTCTGTTTGTGTAGACCCCTCCCTTCTCCTCTCTTAACACACGGTTTGTACCGAATTTGCTTTCAATCCAAGCCACCCCGAGCACTTTTCCAGGAGAGGCATATGTTTTGTCCGACCATCTCAGCCCTCTGTGAGTCTTCTCAAGATTTCTTCCCCAATTTTTTTCCCTTGCCACCCTTTCCCACCACTTGGCAGTTCTTGAGAGAGCCATGTTAAGTGGATATTGGCAAGAGTAATTGCCAAGCTGTTTTGAATATACGCCAGTACCAACTTTGCATCTTTTCCTAGCTTTAAATTGGTCTTCAATCTTTGAATTTAAATATAAATTGGGGAATGATTTTGGAATTATTTTGAATGGCACATATGTGTAAATATATAGATTAGTATATTACACATAAACAATATATTTCTATATAACAAATATATATAAATATATACATGCAGAAATATACACACAAATATATATCTAAATGTTTATTAGAAATTGTTGAACATCAGTGCAAACAACCAAAGTTGCTTGGTAATTGTTTACATGTAAATTAATTTTAATACGTAAAAATTCATAGCATTTTTTCAGTCTTTCCCTCCAAATCCCCATCAAAATTCTTTGTTTATTTTTATTCACTTTTCATTATATGATAAAGGCTAATGTCTAATATTTATATAGTGCTAGGCACTGTGCTGAGTGCTTTACAAATATTATCTCAGTGATCTTCTCCTGGGGGAGGTAGCTACTACTACTACTACTATTATTATTATTATTATTATCCCCTTTTTACGGTTGAGGAAACTGAAGCAGACAGAAGTTAAGTGACCTGTCCAGGGTCACACAGCTAGGATATCCGAGGATGGATTTGTACTCAGGTCCTCCTGACTCCAGGACCAGCACTCTATCTACTGTACTACCTAGCTACCTAGATTGTAGAGTATATGCCATACCATAATATTTCATTAAAGAAAATGATCATTTTTTTGCATTCCTCGTATTTGTTGTCCTTAATCACATAATAATATCCATTTACATTACCGTGTCATAATTTGTTTAACTTTTTCTTCCTCCCCTTTTTTTGGGGGGGGAGTCTAGACTTGTGGTTTCATTAATGTGAGGCAGATGTCCTCTATGTATGCATTTTTTTTATAGTGAGGCAATTGGGGTTAAATGACTTGCCCAGAATCACACATCTAGTGAGTGTTCTCTGTCTGAGGTCAGATTTGAACTCAGGTCCTCCTGACTCCAGGGCTGGTGCTCTATCCACTGCGCCACCTAGCTGCTCCCAGATCAGTGGTTCTAATGCGATTCATAATCTTAGAGAGTTACTAGGGGGCTTGGGAGATTGACTGGTCTAGAGTCACATAGCCGGTTTCTGTCAAGTGGGGCTCAAGCCTACCACACATCCTCCTGACTTTGAAAGCTTTCTTTTCAAATAAAGTCAGGTGCGATAAAAATGTAAAGTATCTTGTAAATATTAAGGTGATACATACACATATACATACATGTGTATATATAGACATAGGTATATCATATACACACATGTGATATGTATGTATGGGTGTGTATATGCATGTTATTCTTCTTCTTCTTTTATAAGCTTATATATTTTTAATCCCCCAAATCTCTTACTACAAACGACATTTAAATCACTTCTATATTGTTATGTTGCCTTTTATATTGCAGTCATTTACCACATATCACTTTCTTTTTATGCCCATGTCCTTGAGTTAAAAAGTTACTGTAAATGTGAGCTGTACTATACTATTTCCTAGCATTATCTACTAACCTTAACTCTCCCTTCTCCTAGGAGCTCTTTCCCCAGATGAAGGAGGCCCTAGGGTAGATGGAATTTCTGACATCCTGAGCTCAGAATTCATTTTCCTGCAGAAAAACTATTATAAATAGTAGTTTGGAATAGTTGAAAAGGGCCCCTAAGCATTCCATGTCAGTTACATTTTGAGTTAGACAGGCTTTTGTGGGATGGCCTAGGAATCCAGCCATTTGTTTTCTGTGGGAAAATGCATTCTGAGCTCCAGATTATAGACCTATAAATTAACTTTTAGAACTCAGTTATAAAGAGGGGCCTGTTTGTAGTAATCCTTTGGCTATTTCTGTTGAGTAGTTCAGTAAATCTTACCTCTCTTCTATTGCTGTTATATATGAGTCATTGTGGTCTACAGTGGTGACTGAGTGTTTGTCTGTTATATTTTGTTTTCCATTTAGACTCAGATCTTGGAGTTGGAAGGAAGAGTCCGAAGGGCAGCAGCAGAGAGAGGTGCTGTAGAGTTAAAAAAGAATGAGTTCCAAGGAGAATTAGAAAAACAACGAGAGCAGCTGGACAAAATCCAATCCAGACACAACTTTCAGATGGAGAATGTCAATAAGATGTACCAGGATGAAAAGGCAAGACCTGTTAATTTTTAGTCAAGTTCCCTTCCTTCTTTCCACCCCCACCCCCACCTCCATTAGTGTTCCAATATTCTGTAAACTGTGGGAGTACAAGGGAGTATATGCATACTTAATTAAGCTTCTTGCCTCGGTGTAGTTTTTTTGGGATTAGTACTATGGCATTATTTACCCCCTCTCTGTTAGAAAAGGCCCTGAAGTGCATAAACTGTAAACTTCCTTGGGGAAAAAAAAATAATGCCTCAAGTAGAAGATATGACATTTAATAATTGCTCAAGAAGGACATATGTTTCCTTCTGGAACTTCAGGATAATTTATCTTATTTTCCTTTTCCTTTATGACTCTAATAAAGGGATTAGGAATAGACCCTATGTAACGTTTCATATATCTGACTTGTTTTTTTGCATTAGACCCTAATGATGAGTGAAAATACTCATTTATTAAACTATCTGAATGCATAGCAATTTTGACATTAGTGATACTCTAGAGATCTTTTGCACCTGCAGCCCTTTACAATCTGCAGATGTAGTGATCTTGGCCAAGACATTTTACCAAACAGAGCCTCAGTTTTTCATTTGTAAAATAAAAGAGTTGGATTTAAAAAAAATTAATAGTATTTTATTTTTTCCAATTACATGTAAAGACAATTAAAGAGTTAGATTTCATTTTTGATAAGCTCCATTCCAGGTCCTGTTACTTAAGAATATACTTCATTTTTATAGAAAGACCTGAGTGTGAGTGAGTAAAGGAAAATCAAATGCTTAGGGAAATAGTATAGCATTAGTTTGCATTTATTTATAGTACTAGTAACAAGTTACTAGTAACTTGTTCACTAAGAATATCAAATGACTTTATTTTTTAATAAAAACTTTTACTTGTTTTTCAATTTACAAATATTTATTTTCTCCCACTCCCACTACTCATTCCGTTAGCAGGAAAAAACACCCCAAACCTTTGTAGCAAGCAAAACAAATTCCCACATTGTCCATATTCAAAAACTCATGTCTTGTTTAACATCTTGAATCTGTCGCTTCTGGTAGATGATGGTTAGGATGTGGGTAGCATGCTTCATCATTAGTGCTCTGGAATTGTGGTCAGTCATTACATTGATCAGAGTTCTTAAGTCTTTCCAAGTTGTTTGTTTTTATCATGTTGTTATTGTATAAATTATTCACCTGGTTTTCCTCATTTCACTCTGTATTGGTTCATATAGTTCTTACCAGGATTCTCTGAAATGGTTCCTTTTCTTGTTTCTGATTCTTTTAGATTTATATACCGTACTTTATTCAGTTATTCCCTAATTGATGGGACACCTTCTCAGTTTCCAGTTCTTTATTAATTCAAGAAGAATTGCTATAAATGTTTTTGTAGCTGTGGGTCCTTTTCCTCTTTCTTTGATCTCTTTGGGTTATAGACCTGTTGGTGGTATTGTTGGGTCAAAGGGTATGCACAACTTTTAGGGCATAGTCCCAATTTTTTTTTTCTAGAATGGCTGGACCACTTCCACAGCTCTACCAACAATGTATTAGTGTGCCTTTGTTCTCATAGTCCCTCCAACAGTTATCGTTATCTCCAGTCTGATAGGTGTAAAGTAGTTAAGTCAAGAGTTTTAATTTGTATTGTTCTGTTTTAGTGATTTGGAGGATTTTTTTTCATATAGTTATTAATAGTTTGAATTTCTTCCTTTGAAAAGCCTGTTCATATCCTTTGATCATTTATTCATTGGGAATGGTAGAGTTTATCCTGATTTGCTGATTGCATATTGTGTAAACTGTGTTATCTCTTAATTTAAAGGGTGGTTTTTTTTATTATGCAGTTTGAAGGTACCACACCTTCAAATTATACCACGCCTGGACATAGAGTCCAGAAAGTCTGGATTGAAGCACTGCCTCTTATACTAATAGCTATATGATCATGGTCAAGTCATTTAACCTCATAGAGCCTGAGGTCTTGGATCTTTAAAATGAGGATAACAACAGTAGCACTAACTACCTTCCTAAGTTTGCTGTGAAGAAAGCACTTTGCATAGCTTAATGCAGGGGTTCTTAACTCTGAGGAGTCCAAGATAGATTTTAGGAAATTTGTGAACTTGTCTTAAAAAATATTTTGATAACTGTATTTCAATACAATTGCTTTCCTTTGTAATCCTGTATATTGTATTTTATGTGTTTAAAACCACTCTTCTAAGAAGGGGTCCACAGGCATGATCAACTGCCAAAGGGGTCTGCAACACAAAAAAGGTCACGCCCCCTGCCTTGAAGCATTTGAAAAGTACTAAGTTATTTTTAATTTCCAGCATAAATATTTCTATCCTCTTTGTGTGTGTGGGGAATAGTTTAAGAAACCATTATTTCAGCTCTTGCTGTTGTGAGAAGCAGAGAGCCCTGTTATTGTCATTCATGAAATTCTTAACTTGGTGAAGTGGAACCTGGGATTTTCTCATGCATATATACCTGCCTAATGAAATTCCCTTATAATGAGTTATATAATATTGTTTTATCACCTGTTCTCTAGACTATTGTAATAACATCTTAATTGATATCCTTGATTTTTCCTTCTCCAATATATTTACACAGTTGCTAAATTAACATTCCTAAAATATGGTTCTTATCATGATACCACCTCCCAAAAACGAAAAAAACAAGAAAAATGAACCAGACTTCATTTGGACTCCCTATTCATTGCCTCTAGAATGAACTAGAAACTCCCTGGTTTGGCATTTAAAGCTTTCTATAATTTGGCTCCCACCTACTTTTTCAGACTTATTTCATATTTCCTTTGACATCCTTTGTTCTATCCAAACCAGACTATTTGTTCCCCAGACTAGGGGTCCAACCTCCCATTCCCAGGCATTTACACAGGTCTTCTGGTCCCCACCCCTAGAATACACTTCTTTCTAAATACTCCCTAGTAGAATTTTTATCTGGCATTTAGTCTACATTAGTCTGACATTATTTCTACAACCCTGCAAAAAAATCTTTTCTTATCTCCTCCCCACTCCCCCAAGCTCTCTTTGATTACCTTATATTTGCTTCTCTGTGTGTATTTTGTATCCTCCATTTTCCCTTTCCTCTCAGCACCCAGGAGACTGTAAACTCCTTAAGGAGAAAAATTGTTTCATTTTTGCTAATATCTCCAGTGCCCAGCAAGGTGCCTTGCACATAGTAGGGACTTAATATGTGTGTTGAACCGAATTGAGTGGTTATGACAAATATAATAGGTAGAAATAACATGTAGGATGGAGGGAAGGAACAAAGCCAATATGGCTTTGCAGGAAAAGAGAATCAGTCTTAAACAGGGAAGGGGGAGCAGGAAGCAGGCAGAGGAAGATGAAGAAGAGAAGGAAAGATGGTGGCATTTTCCTTATGTTGTTCATACCCCTTTCCTCTTTCAAGGTCCTGGATCTTTGGTGGTTGTTTCTTTGGTGTGGGCATTTTGGAAGTGGAGAGGGGTGTGTGTGTGTGTGTGTGTGTGTGTGTGTGTGTGTGACAGAGACACACACACACACACACACAATATTGGAGGTTTAAGGTTAGGATGATAATGTAGTTCCAGAGCACCTGGTGATTTTAAAACTACTTTTCCCACAATGGACAAATCATCAGATGCATCATGCAAGCATTTTCATCCTCTGCTCCCCCTCCCCCTTCCCCTTTTAACATATGAGGAATATTTGAAATCTGAAAGGATGTATTACTTACCTTTCATCACAAATCAGGCAAGTGCCAGAGGTAAGGTTTAAATGGGGGTATCCTGACTCCATGATTGGCACTCTTTCCCCTACATCTTACTTGAATGTGGGTGGTAGGACAAATCCTACTCCACCTTTAAGTTCCTAGTTCATAGATTTAGAACTGGCAGGGATTTTAGAGGTCATCCCTTCTACTTTGCACCCCTCACCCCCTGATCGTTTTATAGATGAGGAAGATTGTGTCTTGCCCAAAGTTACACAGATAGTGACTGTCACAGCCAGGATTCGAAAATCACTCCTAGTCTAATGTTCCTTCCCAGGCCCAATGAATTGTTTTATCTCTCTTCTCTTCTCCATGCAAACAGTGGACAGTATGTTCTTGTGAGTGACTCGGACACATGGGCAGGAAGAACAGAAGGCATTAGTTGTCCAGAATTATTTGGCACAGAGAATTTGTCACAAGTAGATCAACAAAGCGCTGCTGATAATGAGCCGTCTTCTGTCATGTAGATAGAATTTTGTTTTACAGAACATACCTCCTGTTGCCTCTATGAGGGATTTTATAGGGTTATTTTTAACCAAGGTGGTGTGTGTTTTGTTGTTTTTTTTTTTCTCCTGGCTTAAGTATATGACCTCTTTTAAAAAAAATTGGAGAACTCATAAATGATCTTTACATCAGAAAACTAATTATTGTGTCTTTACATAGTAAAACCAGTCTTTCATGAAACATAGATCTTTTGGAAAAACAAACAAACCTACCTCATGTCTGCTTTTAAAAGTTTTTAATATAATTATCTGTTGATGAATTGTAGGCAAAATTACCCTGTTTCTCTTTTCAGTGGCCTTTCTCCTTTCCTAGAAGGTTCAGCAGGTGCTGCTGAGTTTCATGGGTGGGGATGTTGATGAAACAATTGCTTCCTTATTTGCCATGGGTAAAAGTTTTTCCTCGTTTGTTGTATGAACAATAAAAACATTTATGTGGCAAATTTCTCAAGTCTCTTTGGCACATTGGTTATTATTTAGGCAAGAACATAGGATATTAACTTCTTTTCATTTAGTTATCAAAATATTTTATATTACTACTTTTTTGTATTACCTAAAGTAAATTTTTATTATAAACTTATGATTGTAGAATTTGATTTGGGACAGTCCTTAGAGATCTTCTTAGGGATGAGGAACTGGGTGCCCCTTGTCAGGTTGCTCTCCAAAAAAGGAAGCATCATTTGGACAGAGCCCTGGATTTGATGTATTAAGATGTGGGACTCAAATCCAAGTTCTTCTGAATTCAGGTCCAGAATTCTTTTCA